AAAATTCAGAGAAATGTGCTTAGAGAAGACGTATAGGTATCAAATTAAGGCGGAAATCCTGTAGAATTTAAACATATTCAAGTTTTTGGTGCAGAAGGACTGGCAAGTAATTAAAATGTCCTTTGAAAATTATTTAAAATTTATCCTAGAAATTTCGCAATATTTGTTTTTGAAAAAATTATATGTTAGAGACTTATATGACCCGATAAAATCTTCGTATTTCGGCCTTCTAACTTTATCCCCTTAAAAAATTACCAATTCGTCCTTGTGAATCCAAAAAATTTTAATTTTTTTAAATTCTAAAGAAATTTCCTCTTGCACTTGGTACCCATATTTTTATTCTACGGGTACATTCCACTGAATTTTTTTTAACAGTTTTTGGAATTAATCATATATTTAAAATTACAAAATCCTTTAAAATAAATTTTGACGTTAGAAAGAAAAATAAAAACGCCACTTCAAATAAAAAGTAGGTTTCAAACCCATTTATTTATTATTTATTTTATGGTAGGAGAGCTTCTCAAACAATATAGAAGCAATTTTTTCGATTTAAGTTGGTGAAAAGTAATGAATATCTAAATCCCGGGACTTACCCCGGGATTGTGATAACGACGTCCCGAAAATCCCGGGATCGCAAAAAGGTGAAAAATTAACATCCCTAGTACGGAACCCTTTTTTTAGTTTTTTGGTGCCGAGTAGTGGAAACAGGAGTTTGTTAAGTGTCAATATCTAAAACTATTCAGCTACAGAATCAAATTCATCAGCTGATTGGATATACTAAATATAGTATTTCAGTTATTGAGAGTGGAAATGATAGTTTTCTTTGTAGTAAAAATCGAGTCCGATATATCAAACGTGTTGGAATGAGAGTTAAAATCGTGACATAAACAACGAAATGCTTCGTTTAGTTCAAAATTAGTTTTGCATGGCTTCAAAAACAGAAGTCGAAAGTGTCTTGACACTCGACAGAGCACACTAAAATTGATCTCAGCCAGGAGGGCCGGGCTATTAATCAAGCCTGTCATTAATTTTACGATAAATATTATACCTAGCATTTCTGAGCTTTAGACGACTTGTGTAAGGGGAGGATTGTAATCTGAATCCTAGTTAAAGTCACGCAACGCAAAACGCAAGAATTGTTTTTGAATTGATTCAATCCTCTCTGAATGAACTTGGTAGCTGGGATTCCAAACAATAGATCCGTATTCTAGTATAGGTCTAACTAAAGTGGTAAAAAGAGCTTTTGTAACATAAGGATCTTTGAACTCTTTTGACCATCGCTTTACAAATGCAAAAACGCCTTTGGCTTTATTGACTGCAACATTAATATGCTGGTTGAAATTGAGTTTGGAATCCATTGTGATACCAAGATCGACAAAATTGGATACCTGCCCCAGATTATAATTTGATATTGAATAAACAGCTGGTTGAACAGCCCTCCGAGAGAAACACATCACTTTACATTTTTGAAGGTTTAGTGGCATATAGTTTGCATTACACCAACTTACCACTAGAGGACAACGTTCATCGGCATACATTAAAATTTTCTCAAGTAAAGAAACTAGCTGCATATATACTGATACGGCAGAGTTAGGAGGAATGTAGCAAAGAGCTAAATAAATATAAATCTTTCCAGCCTGTACACGTATACATTTAAATTCGGTATATTCAATGACAGGAACACTAACTTCCTCGGATGGTATCGATGAATGCACGGCAAAAAGAACACCACCGCCGATTCTGCCCTCGCGGTCACTCCTGTATATTTGATATTAATTTGGAAGTATTTCGGAATTAAAAATATGAGGTTTGAGCCATGTTTCGATCAAGGAAATAATATTATAATTGCAGTCAAAAGCTTTTAAATATAAGTCAGTTAATTTGGTATTCAAACCTCTAACGTTTTGATAGTAAATACTTAAATTAGACTTTTTTTTAACTTATGTAATTCATTTATTTCAATATTAAGTATTAGCACAATAAGATCAAGATCTTTTGTAGTACATCAAATAGATTCAAAAGAATGGTACATACTTACTACTAAATTGAAACGATTTATACAATATCAGTTTGGATTACCAGATAAGATAAGATAACTATTACATATAACTTATTGTATATTAGTAATATTCCTCTGCGCCAAATTGGCTGTAAAGAGGGTGCCTAAGATTAAAATTTTATCATTTTATCATACAATGCAAACAAAAAAAACTAACGTATGGTAGCAAAACGAGCCGTGTTCAAAAGCTTTACATTCAAAAAAAAAGAAACTTTACGTAAGAAGCGATTCAATATTTTGTAGTAAGTAACTCTTTATTTCGTTTTTAAAAACCGATACTCGTTCCAGTGTTTTAATAGCGTTGGGCAGTTTATTAAACTCATTTACTCTACTCTCTGCTTGGATACCTCTAACCGATATCTTGCTACGTAGAGTAAATCACTGTTCCTGGTTGTTCCGGATTGATTGTTTTGGAATTGTAGGACATGGTAACCAAGGCCATGTAAGGTTTTATATACATAGATCAATAGCTGCTTTTTATATAAACCAGAAACTGGTAGTATTGATAGACCATACTCTCTAAATACACTCAAAGTGGAATGCCTTCTTGATAGATTAAAAACAAGTTTCAAAGCTGTGTTTTGGCACGATTGAAGAGATCTTAGATCGTTCGTCATTTTATGGACATAAGCAATAGGAAGACTGTGAATAAGCGATTGGTACAGTAAGAGTTTAACTTTCTCTGTCAGCTTATTCTTAAACTTATAAAGTATCCCAATGCCAGCCGATAGCTTTGCTTTTAAGGCATCGATATGGACACTCCAGGATAAGTTCCGAGACAGATGCACCCCCAAATATTTAACAGTATCAACTTCCTTGATTTCATTATCCTCGACATAAACGCTAAATGACTGCTCGAACCTAGACATTACATGAGGCCTAAACCGAATTAGCTTAGTTTTCTTTGCGTTTAAGACAAGTTTATGTAAGCGCACAAACTCAGAAATTATAAGAGCATCGTGTTCTATCTGTACCTTTACAACTTCAAGATGTTTGTAGGGATAAAACAAACAAATATCGTCCGCAAACATTATAAGTCGCCCATTTAAGTTTAGATTTTTAATGTCATTTATGTACAACTTGAACAGAAGAGGCCCTAGCACACTACCTTGTGGCACACCACAACTAATATGTGACTCATACTACTTTTTTCCCCACATATTTCCACATATTGTTCCCTATTTGAAAGATAATCGGCTAGCAGGTTGAATTCTCTGTTTTTAATACCCAGCAAATCCAATTTATGCAATAAAATTCCATGATCAACAAGATCAGAAGCTTTATTAAAATCATAAAACAGCCCAGTTACTCCAGAAAACCCACTGTCCAATCCCTCACAAATTATATTTACGACATTGACCACAGCTTCTTCGGTACCGCAGCCTTTTTTAAACCCAAACTGATGAGAAAACATAACTTTTTCTGATTCTAAATAACATACTAATTGATCATATATAATTTTCTCAAAAATTTTGTCAACAATGGTAAAGACCGCAACTGGTCTAAAGTCCTCAGCTTTCGTAGTGTGAGTAACTTTTGGTATTGGTACAACTTTGTGAATTTTAAGAATATCTGGATATCTAGAATTTTCTATTGAATCATTAAAGACTTTAGCCAGGTACGGTGATATTATGTCCTTCACTGCATAAAGAGCTTTTGGTGGAATGTTATCGTGACCACAGCTTTTATTAAGATCAAGATTAGACAAGGCAACTTCGATATCAGGTGTGTCCACCGCACTTAATATAAAAGTATTTTGAAATTTCGACGACATTCGAAAGAGAATACATGGGTCCCCGTTTTGTTCTTCTATATTACTCCGCAGTTGATACACAGATTCTAAAAAAAAGTTGTTGAGAAATGTTGCCTTTTCCAAATTATTTGTGAGCGAAACATCGTTACGATCTTTAAATATAAAAGAGCCTTTCTTTTCCTGCCCAAAATGGTGTTAAGAAAACCCCATTTACGTTTTGAATCGGAACTAAACTTTTCTATGTTAGAAGCATAATAATTATTCATCGACAATCTTTTTGCAGTCTCTATGACCACACTATTCTTTTCAACCTTTGTTTAAAGCTTTTTTCTAAGGGGGGCCTTCCTCCGAGCCTTCAAAAGCTTGCCTTTTAATTTAAGTAGAGACTGGATATTTTTATTAACCCACAGTGTAATCTCATAGGCAAGGATTGTTTATTTTATTTCAGTTGTACTGGATTCTAATGCACTGGAAATGTCACCTAGAATAACCCCCGTTAAGAAAGACGGATCCACTGTGTCATAACATCTTTCCTTTTCCTGCAACTGTTTTCTTAAATGTTCATAGTCGACATGATAAGTGATCTTCTCTAAATAATGATTCACTCGATACTCAAGTTTTAGTTTACAGCATAATAAATTATGATCTGACAACTCACATTCAATAGAATCCACAGGGAGTTCTTTTGTTATATTACTAAAGATATTGTCTATTGATGCTCCACTTGCCGGACGTGTAACTAACTTGTGACGGTTTTGAAAACCATACATAGTGCACATATTAGTCAAAGACATGGAAGAGGAACTAGCATTTAGCAAATCAATATTTGTATCACAAACATACACTGAGGCGTTGTTTGCGTTAGTCGATAACAAATCCCCAACAATTTTGATAAAGGTTTTATCAGAACATTTTTGTGATCTATACATCGAAACAATACAAAGTGGTTTGCCTTCAATCTTAACTTCGTTGAGTGTAATAGATATGTAGTTTAAGTAGTAGTTCACTAATAAAGCTTCTGAGTTGATTGAATTTACGTAAAGAAGAAGCGCTTCTTACGTTCATAGATACAATATTAAAAAATCTATATGATATTGTTCCTAAATAATCATTATACTTTTTTAAGTTTTTAAAATATTTATTACAATTCATAATGTGAAGTTAAATATGTATATATATACTTAAAATTTAATTTCTGGCAGCACTGCTGTCACTGGGCATAACAAGTGAGCTCGTCTCAGGAAACAGCGTCGTCACCGTCAGCAGCAAAAGCAGAAGTTGTCATATTTGTTGTTGTCGTCGAAGAAGCTAATAACAACTTATCAACATCTCCCATGGTTTTTACTGTTATTGTAGGCGCCTGTTCGTTTTTCTTCACCACAATATGATTTCCCTTAGCAAGAACAAATTTGAAACCCACCGCCTTAAGAGACTTTGCATGATTAAACAGTTTCATTGTCTCTTTGCTTAAACAGTCATGGATAAACACATTTTTCATTTCTGTGATTTCTCTCAATTTGGATTTGGCTGACATGAATTGAACCTTGTTTATTTTATTGGCAAATCTTACAGTTATTGTTTTTGACTTAGCATGCTTGCTACCCACGAAAAAAGTTTGGATGATATTACTTGGATCAATATTTGCGCCAATTTTATTACAAATGTACATTGTTGCTTCTTTAGCCGTTTTTCTGCCGTCACAAAGACTAATACCACGAAACACACAATCATTTTGCACTCTTCCATCGTTTAAGAGCTTTAGCGACGATTTGAGGTCTGACACTTCTTCACGCAAACTTCGATTCTCCCGCTGAATGGCTTCAATTCTCTTTTTATTTTCATTCACTCCACATAAAATGGTGTCATATTGGGACGACATGAATTGCATTGATTTACTTATGTCATCAAGTTGATTTAATTTCTGCTTTATTTCATTTAATCCTAGTGAGATCGAAGTATGTTGCTGGTTTTCACAGAAATGACAGACAAAGACCTGGTTGGGATTGCCCTTCAGATCGACTAGCTGGCGTTTATCCAGATCCGAACACTGAGCATGCAAAGTTTTCTGGCACTTATCACACTGCACCACTTCATCACCTGTTTCTATGCACAATTTGCATTGGCTGCGATCTCCTTTACTACCTCTTGTTACCTCGCGAGGGCAGGAACCTTGCCGTTGGTGCGGGGGCTTAGCTGAATCACCAACCGGTCCTCTTCTGGTCTGAGGTAACGCGGATGCGGCAGCCTCCGCGCTACCTTACCTCCAGATTTAGGCCGCTGGAGAACAGTGACCAAGAACTGCCACCTCCTAATCCAGGGTGTTAAGCGACACCGTGCCTATTGGACGGTTTGCAGCCAGGAGGGTATAAACCGGCTGTATTAGAACGGCGCCTTTCCGACACCAGGCCGCATCGGAGAGTAACGGTGGCCTTACCGCGATAAGGGGCGCTGGCGCGGCGGACTTTGAAGATCCCCTTCAAAACCTTAGACTGCTGAGCTCGCCTTGTCGAGCAGGCGGTCGTACGAAAAAGTAGATCACAACAACAAACAAAAAACAACTAAAACCCAGAAAAACAAAACAACAACAGTAACTACAGCTACAACAACAGCAACAACAACAACATCTACCACAGCACCCGCGTCACCATCGGCGGTGGGCATAACGGCATCAGCTGTAACAATAGCAAAAGCAACAGGTACACCAGTAACGCCAAGGAGCAGCACGCTAGAAGGCTCTAAGAGCGCCAAGCGCAAGAGCACCTTCTTGGACAAACTGACAGCACAGGAGGCATCGCTGTTCATTGAGCATGCGAGGGATGACGAACATCCAGGCACCAGTGTAGATCGGCCGCAACACCGGTCCGGCAGTTCTCTTTACAGGCACACAGGAACAGCGAGATCAGAAAGCAGCCACCGTACCGAGGGCAGTCACCGCTCCAATAGTCGGCATCGCTCAAGCAGTCGGCGCCGCTCTAAGAGTCGCCACCGCTCAAAGAGCCGGGAGCGCTCAAAGGGTCGGCGCCGCTCTGAAAGCGGTCACCGGAAGGGGAAAGGTAGACACAGGTCCCCTTGCAGCAACGCCTCCGCCACATCTGACGAGTCTGGATGGCAGAAGCAGAGGAGGAAGAAAAACCGCAGGGCCAAACCTCCTCCGATGCCTCTGCCAGGTCAGCCAGGGGCTCTGGACGACCGACACCGCGAAGGTTTGAGCGGCTCCGGGGTCAAGTGGTACCTCCGGTACCTGGAACAGGCAAACCCCCAGTTGAGGCCAGATCCATGGCCTGCGTCAGAATGGAGGTCGAGAAAGAGCGTAGCAGTAAAGGCAACAAACCCGCACCTGCCGATAGGTGGAAGGGCGGGCCCATTAAACAGGCACACTTACCCGCGCCTGCTGCAAAGCAGAGAAGCGGGTCACAGCAACAACAGCAGCACAGACCCGCGCCCGCCGGATGGCGGAGAAGCGGGGAACCCCCTGGCCATAACAAAGGGGACGCAGTCAAGAGAGGGAGCAACCAAATCACTCCGCCTGAGACACCTAGCACCAAACGGCAGCGGGATCAGCCACCTACTCCGAATTCATGGCCTAAGAGCCTGGCTGGGCAGGCCGGGCAGGGACAGGTGCAGGAGAGCGCCACTCAGCAGCCCAGCTACTCGGAGACCCCTCAAAGGCATCCGGGTAGCGGTGCTACCGTGTGAGTACCCTGCTGCTGCCTTGAGCCCAGAGGACCTAACCAGGCTCCAATATGCCATCATGGAAGAGGTATTCAAAGGTTGGTCGCACCCGCTGGCATTCTGCAGGGTGTACTTCAGGTCCGGTAGGCTTCTCGTAGATTGCAGGGCCGAGAAAACCGCAACCTGGCTGGCGGAGAAGGCACCAGCACTTGAGGGCTGGAAGGGACCCGTGATGTGCACGAAGAGAGGGGACGATATCCCTCCGGTGCACAACATCACGGTGTTCCTCCCAAGGAGCGCCGACAAATCTACCGAGTTTGCGCTGGGGCTACTAAAAGCGCAGAACGAGGGTATCCACACTTCTGCGTGGAAAGTAGTGTCCAGCACCACTGAGGGTAACGGGCTCAGGCTATTCCTAGGCATTGATGAGGAGTCCTACGTCAGTATAAAGAGGGCTGGCTTCAACCTGAACTATAGGTTCAGCTTCGTCACGGTGAGACCGTGGAGAAAAAAGGCGACAGGCAGCAAGGAGTCGGAGTCGCAGGAGACTCAAATCGACACGGTCGCCGGTTCCTCTGCTGCCCAGACGGCCGAGTTGACCTCGGGCTTACCGGCGGAGCAGCCACTCCTTGCAGTAACACCAGCTCCTGCAAACACGCTCGGGCCTACCGCTACCACTACCTCAGCGGAACACGTGCCCTCAACGCAGGAGCTGCTATCAGGTATAGACTCCGACCTTGACGTGCTCCACCTATGAATCCCCCACACTTGGCAGTAGCCCAGGTCAACCTGCATCACGCGGTGGCTGCTTCGGCGGTCATCACCAGCAGGTTCGCCACGGATGGCCTGGGCATCCTACTGATCCAAGAGCCGTGGACCTACAGAGGCCAGGTGAGGGGCCTCAACCATAAAAGGAACAAGGTAATTTGGGACCTCTCCTGTGAGAGGCCCAGAGCGTGTGTAGTGCTTAAAGAAAATATTGATTACTTTTTCATTACAGAATTTTTAACACAGGACCTAGTCGCAGTGCAGACGTCGCTGACCATTTGCGATAGCAACGTAGAGGTGGTGTTCGCTGCGGCCTGCTTTCCGGGAGACAGCAGCTATGCCCCACCACAAGAGGTACAGAGGTTAGTGGAGTACTGCAGGAGGAGACGGCTCCATCTTATAGTGGGGTGCGATGCGAACGCCCATAATGTTGAATGGGGCAGCACGGACACAAATCGCAGAGGTGAGTGTCTCTTAGAGTACATTTTAAGCGAGGAACTTAGCATCCACAATGTTGGCCAAACACCGACATTTGTCACGAGGGCTAGGAAAGAGGTACTGGACGTTACGCTCAGCAACAGATTGGCTAGTCCTCTGGTCACCTAATGGAGGGTCTCGTCAGAACCTTCATTATCGGACCACAGGATTATCCAATTTGTGCTGGGAGCGGAGGCGAGAACAAACCAAGCAACTAGAAACCCCAGGAAAACTGACTGGAAGCAATACAGCGAAAATTTAAAATCAAACTTGACTGAAATACAGTCCAAGAACAGGCACGTCGATCATATGAGGTTAGATAACACCGTTAACGAACTGAATGGTGCCATAATGGATGCCTTTCACTCCAGCTGCCCTGAGGTGAAACCAAAAGGGAAGGCTCAGCCCAGCTGGTGGTCTCGGGAGCTATCGGTGCTCAGAAAATAGGTACGGAAACTTTTTAACAGGGCAAAGCGTACAGGGCTTTGGGCGGAGTATTCAGCCAGTTTAACTAATTACAGTAAAGAGATCAGGAAGGACAAACGGGGCAGCTTCAGGAAGTTCTGTGAGGACATCACATCGACTCCTGCAGCCGCTAGACTACATAAGGCCCTGGCGAGGGATCATACTGACACCAAACTAGCAATCCGGCTAGCTAATGGTAACTACTCAGGGAACGAAAAAGAGAGGGCGCTTGCCCTGCTCTCGGTCCACTTCCCGGATGCCACTCCGACCACGAGGGAGGTACCATGCCAAAGAACTAGGCCATACCCTGCAGACGGGAAGCTGGCTAGAAGACTAATCACCCACCGATCAGTCTGCTGGGCTTTGGACTCCTTTGATCGGTACAAATCCCCTGGGGTGGATGGCATCTGTCCAGTGTTGCTGAAACAAGGTAAGGAGTTCCTACTGCCGCACCTCGTCAACATCATGCGGGCGAGCTTAGCGCTTGCCCATATCCCCGAGGCGTGGCAGAGGGCTCGGGTTATATTTATCCCGAAGATAGGTAAGAGAGACTACTCTCTCGCTAAGTCCTTCAGGCCGATAAGTCTTACCTCCTTTCTGCTAAAAGCAATGGAGAAGGTCATCGACCATGAAATTAGGAACAACACCCTTAATGCAGCGCCTTTGCACCCCGACCAACATGCCTACAGAGTGGGCAGGTCCACGGACACTGCACTATACGCCCTGTCCGCGGATATACAAGGTGCTCTTGAGTGTGGGGAGACAGTACTCTGTGCCTTCATCGACATTGAGGGGGCGTTTGACAACACCTCTCACGGTAGTGTCTTTTTAATTTTTTATAGTCTACTTTTTTTAATATATTGTGGTTTAAATTTTAGTCCAAAAAGTTCGTGGTTTAAAAATCAAACCAAAATGTTTTAATTCTAGTTTCTAGGTTTCATATATAGAAAATTTGGTTTAAAATCTAAACCGAAATAGAACATTTTTGCACACAGCGAAATGTGGTGTTGATTCAAACTCAACATATGAAAGCACATTTACATGCGTGCCTGTAGCTGAGTGTGCAAAGCTGCTGGATACTAAGGCTGTCCGGGTCAATCCCCATCAGACGGAGCATGAAATTTAATTTTTATTTTTTATTCTTAATTATGAAAATATTTGGGTTCAAAATTTAAACCGAACTGTTTAAATTCTAAACCCAACATATGTGCCCTCTTTTTTTTAAGTTTAGGTTTGTATTTGAAACCGAATTTATGTAGTTTGGTCATATATGTAGTCCAAAAGTTTAAAATTAAAACCGAAATTTTTAACCGTGTATTGAAACATTTTGGTCCAACATTTTCACCAAGAGTTCACGCTCATGATTTTTAGTGACGCATTTGTCTTCTAATATTACGGTAAAACTGTACATGCATACAAAGATACGAGTAATTTATCATGGGAGGTGCCACGTCCCTATTTCCAATAGCCCCAACTTTTCTTCATGCCCAGTCGCGTTTTATATATCTTGTACATACAAAGTTCCAGTACTCTTCCATAAACACATTCAGAGATATGCAGTATGAAAAATTCGATGTGTATGGGAAGTGCCACGCCTCCTTTTCCGATAACCAAAATTTATCTCCATGAGTATGCGATTGCTTGCATATATCTCCATACCAAGTTCGAGACCTCTTCCATGAACATTTTCCGGGATATGCAGTATGTAAAATTCGGTTTGTATGGGAGGTTCCACATAACTTTTTCCAATAACCGCAATTTTTATCCATGAATATGCAAATGTTTTCATATACCTCCATACCATATTCGAGTAGTCTACCATGAACACTTCCAGAGATGTGCAATATGAAAAATTCGGTTTGTATGGGAGGTGCCACGCCCTCTGCACCTAGCGGTATGAAATATATTTTACATCCGATTCTCATGCCTACCATATATAACACAAAAAATTTCATAATGATCGGTCGAGGCGTTTAGGAAGAGTTCAATTTTT